TTACGAGGTCCCAGGGCCCCTTCCTAGCATGCAGGCGGATCAGTGAACAAAGAGCTGTGGTGTCACCTAAGCTGGTACTGTCACTTCCTGCAGGGATCTTATATTTATAAACCCTTGTAACACTCTGGAGCCAGGTGGGGAAGGAAGTGTATCGATTCTTGGAGTTCTTAGGACCTCTCAGGTGATGCTGGCCATCTCAGCTCTCACCCCTGCCTCTGGACTCTAGCAATGGGGAAGTTCAGTGAGGAGACTAGAACCCACGTGCTCTCTTCCAAGCACCATCTTTCCTCTTTCAATTCAACTGAACATTCACCCTGCTTTTTACAATGTCCCACACAGCTGCACCAGGAAACACATCCCCAACAAGCAAGAACTCTCTGCTAGTTATCTTTCTGTATTCCAGATTTTAAGAACAAGCCCCAGAAAAAGGCAAGCTTCTGTTTGAGGGTTCAGTCTCTTCACATTTGTTTTGCAACAGTGGGGGAACAGCTTGAGCACAGCCCACAGGCACCCTCCCAGTCCCCTCTCCTTTACACCCCTGACCCAGAACGGATGCCGCCATGCTCCAAATCCTACTCCTGGGATCCAGCCAGACTTCAGCGTCACTTTGTACTTCCCTAAAACTAATGGTTTTTGTTTGAAGAGTTATGCTCACATCTTATGCATGTATGTGCCATGTTGAGGTTAAGAGGACAACCTGCATGAGTCAGCTCTCTCTTTCCACCACATGGGTCCCAGGAACCGAACTCAGGTCGTTAGGCTTAGCAACAAGTACCCTTACCTGCTCAGCCATCACACTAGACCCCACCCCACCCCTTTAAATTAGATTTTGGTTTGTGTGAATGTACGGATGTTTGTGTAATGGCTCATGTGGCGATCAGAGGACAACTCTGGGGAGCTGGCTTTCTTCTTCAACTACCATGTGGGTCCTGGAAATCAAATTCAAGTTGTCAGGCAAGCTCCTTTACTCAGTGAGTCATCTTACTAGCTCCTTGTTTTGTTTAGAGACACGTTTCCTGTGTCCTAGGCTGGTCTTAAACATGATAAGGACAGCCTTGAACTCCTGACCCCCCCTATCTCCACCTTCTGAGTACGGAGATTACCATGTTTATAAGACGCAGAGCTCAGCGCATCCTAGGCAAGGACTCTTTAACAAATAAGCTGTGTCCCAAGCCCCAGAAACTAACATTTAAAAAAATACACAAAAGGACTGCAGGTGTAGCCAGTGGTAGGGTCCTTGCCTAGCCTGTTCCTAGCCATTGCCTAGCCCGTGCCTAGCCCATGCCTACACTTTGCTGATCCCATGCCTAGCTCATGCCTAGCCTGTGCCTACCCTGTGCTGATCCCATGCCTGGCCCTTGCCTTGCCCAGCACACACTGACCCTGAGTTCCATCTTCAGCACAGCAGAGACAATAAGTGATCCTAGAAACCGTGCAAGGCAGAACTAACTTTCTTCGCAGTATATCCATTAGATATTCACACATTTTCACCGGATGAAGATTTTCCTTTTCCCCTGTAGTAAGGTGGGTTTGGGTCTTCTAACCACACAGTGGCTAGGAGGCTCTGGGTCCACTCTGCCAAGTCTGAACCTTGGCCAAAACTCTGTCAGGGACAATGAGTACTTGCTCCTTGGGATACTTCAAAAGGGCACATTCTCCCGAATCACAGAGCAATCTCTGTGTACCCCTCTACCAGCTTACTCATGGACATTGTCTCCAGTGTGAAATTCATTCACATTTAGGCCTTGAGAGACAAGAGTGCCGACTGGCTCAGTTAGTAAAGTGCTTGCCTAGCACATATAGGAGTCTGAATCCAGCCTAGGCATACGAGACCCTATTTAAAAACAAGAGGTAGGAGGCAAATCCTAAACAAGCCCCATGCCCATGAAGACACCAAGTAGGCTCTACTTAATAAAGTTCACTTGCTACTACACTGACTCTCTTAATTTCTCCCTGGTTGAGCACAGGGAATTAGGAGGAAGACAAGCGGCCAGAAGGAAGGTTCTCAAATGGATGCACACTCATAGAGCTTTGCCCACTGGGCACAAGCCTGCCTGATGCCCAGATACTTCCATCCTCAGATGGCTCTGCTACACCCCTTCTTTGTATCCAGGGCTTCTGGAGCCTCTGGGCTCCTTCAACAAATCAGCGTTCTATGAATGGCCTTAGATGCCAGGTACTTAAGTTAAAGCAGGAGGAGAGGAGGGCGAGAGGAAAGAGAGAAGGGGGAGGAGCCCCTGCTGCTTTTGGAGGGGACAGGGGCTGCGGAGGGAACAGGTCACAGTTGCACTCATGGCCAGTGGCAGAAAGGACATCAACAGCATCAGCTTGTCCCAGTAACTCTGGTTGGATGATTGGGACCATAAAGACAGGAAGACACTCCCTCTCCATCCTTAAACACAGCGATAGGTCTTCCTTAAATATTCTTTGATGTGGCTGACAAAACTTTGCAAAGCCTGATCACAGGAAGGAAATGGAACTTATGAACAGAACCGTCACACAAGCTCAGACCAGAGGGCTAAGGAAGCCTTAAAGAGATAGCCCCAGTGTAACCATCACGGGTCCTTGACCGTGGATCCATCGGACCGAACATCCTGAGTTCATTTTCTTCAGCTGGTCTTTTGACCTTGGGCAAGGAGCATTCCCTCTGTAGTTCTATAGAGGAGGGTGGAGGACTGGATTGGTGGTTTTTTATTAACAATAAGCCCACATATTATTCAATTTTGTTTTATCTGGAACCCCAGTACATAAAATAAGGGGGAGCTGTTCACATGGAATGAAAGCATCAAAATGCAAAGTTCCTCTGGGAACCCAGTTGGAACACTGCAGAGTGCTCACATCCTCTTAAAGAGCACCCCAAGGACATAAGGGAATCACCATTGATTTAGTGTTCTCCATGGTGCTTGGGAATCCACATGTCACGTGTTACTGAAACCTCTGCAACAGCAATGTGCAGTTAATTAGCTTAGGAACCGAGATCTGGTGTACTATGAACTGGGATCCCAGCCCCACCCCCAGCTCCTCCCCCTTTACCTCTGTAGAATATTGGGCTGAACTGATTATTTCCTTGCATCATAAATACAAATATATGTATAAACATATGAGAACAAGTTATATTCTTAAAGACTGTAACTCCCCTACATCATCATGAGATTTCCTTCTGAGGCAAAGATGTGGCTGGTTTTCAGTTTGTTTACACCCGCTAATATTCCATAAAGGGTATTGTTAATGTGAACCAGGAATTGTTGATTAAAATCGGTGCTAATAATTCATGTTGAGTTTATGTCGTGGTTTAGGGATGAGATTGGAAGCATCCTTGACCTTTTCAAGTTGCTCCAAATCCCAGCAATCTTGGGTGCGGAGGGTAGCAGTAGACCCGAGGGGCAACTCTCACAGTCATTTAAAAAGTCATTGGACGTCTCAGTTCTTCAGGGTGTGGATGTTTCGGGAGGTAACATCACGTTGTTGTTGCAACCCCTCCCAATATTGCACATCTTTTCTACCCCCCACCCCAGCTGCCTCTTCTGTAGGGGATACTAAGAAAACCACCAGGCCAAGCAAGCATCAAGCGTGATGCTGCTTGAGGAGCTATAGAGAAAGCCCACCAGGCCAGCAAATAAACGCCAGTGCTCCACCCAAAGGTCCCCCAGAGGCCACCAGCAAATTCAAATATCACAAGACTTCAGGAAAGAAAATACCACTGAAGGCAAGACAAGCTTCAGTCAGGCACGAGGTGTGGCAAGGAGTGCCAGTGGCTTCTCTGTATTATTGATACCAGTCATGCCACAGAAATCAAAATATTTCACGTACCTCCTGAAAGTACAGAGGAAACCCCCAGCAGTCAGCGACAGCTGTTGGGGAGACCTGAGTGGGCTCACTTGCTGGACTTTGGGAGGAAAGGGCAGAACGGTGGCTGGGAGACAAAGGCTAGGACTTTAAAGAAAGCCACCCTGGACTGCCTTGGAATATCAGTCAGGAAGCAAAGAAGAGAGGTGTGCCGAGACATGGGAGGTGGTACTGCACTGTCAAAGAGGGTTAATAGCCCCTCTTTCTCAGACAAAGAAAATGCTGGGCACGTGGTCCTCACCCAGACCTCCCCAGACCCATTTCAGTCCAAGGTCCCCTGAGAAGGTGGTAAATCAATCGTCCTGATCCAGGTAGGAAAGGTGGGAGGCAAAAAAACAACAAAAATCCCCATCACACCTCCCCAAGGACTTCATACAGGCCTCACCCCAGATGACTCTGCTCTCCTGCACCGTCTGGGAGGTGTCACTGCCACCGCCCTTTGGTGGTGGTGGTGGGGTGGTGGGCTGCTGTCTGTCACTTAGAAATTTCCCGTGCATTCCTAGAGGTGCCTGCCCCTGTGTCTTAAACCCCTGCAAATGAAAGCAGACAAGAGGGACGAAGACTTCTACTCCCAAGATGCATACTAGTCTATTTGCCACCTGCCTTTGCCTCTGTCTATTTGAGAAACCTAAAAAAGGAGTATCTTCTTCACTCCATTGAGCGCCACTTCCTTCTGGCTACTCGTCTCCGCAATGACCCTTCCTGGCAGCACCTCTTGCTTGTCTGTCTGTCATTTTCACCTGACAAAGCGCGGCGGCAGATGAGACCAGGGCATTTCTCCCAAAGGAGAGAGACGCGCGGGCACCCACTCCTGGCCCCGGCAAATCCGCCCCACCCGTAATGGAACAAAGCAAGGCGAGACGCGCATCACCCAACCCGGGCGACTCCACCAATGTGCGGGGACCCACGCCCCGGTCCCCCTGCAAGGCGCCGCCTGCGCCCGTGGCTACCCTTGGGCCAGTAGCACCGCGCGTCCTACGCCTCCTCACAAACCCCGCGTCCCCAAGCAGCTACTGTACCTGCTAAATTTAGCGACCGCCGGGTATTAATAGCTCTAGCGACCCGGGGCTGGTGGCTCGCAGGGGCGCGCGGCCCTAAGGGGACCTGGAAGACCCGGAGGGAAGGGAAGAAGAAACGTAGAAGAAGCCACTTACACCACCAGCCTGGAGATGATCCACGACACC